ATAGAGCATAACTGAGGTAGACCTTTTTTGTGAGGTGTATACCAAGCGCATTATTTCCTACGTGAATTTCCAAATTCTTCCGCTGAGGTGTGTATATGTATGACTCTTTTTCAAGCTCATTTGTGCACCTCTTTACTTAAGGTTATATCTCTCATTGGAGCAACATGCCTTGCCGCAACCTTGGGTATGTCGGTACTCGTCGGTCGTTGGATAGAAGTCTATGGAGTCAAAAGAATGACGATAATTGGAAGTGTTGTGTTTAGTGGATCATTAGTTGCGGCGGGATTTTGTCGCAGCATTCCTTCGCTCATTATAACACAAGGTTTTCTGAGCGGAATAGGTGCGGGTATATTATATATTCCCGCTATAATCGGTTAGTAAATCGGTATATCTTGTTTTTTAATCACTGATCGACTTTTCATAAGCTCCTCTTGCATGGTTCTCGAAAAAACGTTCACTTGTTTTGGGTATCTCAAGTGCTGGTAGTGGAGTCGGCGGTATATGCTACTCATTCTTGACTCGACTTGTCATCACGAAATTGTCGTATCAATGGGCTTTATGGATCACAGCCTGCATATCAGCCTTTTTAAACGCTGTGGCCATTATCTTAATCAAAAGCAGATCTACTAGGACCCACATTAATCGAGGCTCTTTCCGTGATGCGTTTAAAGTATTAAAAGATCCAAAGTTTCTAACGATCTACATTGGGAGCGGATTATGTGTCTTTGGGTGAGGGTGGAATGTTTTCGATGAATATGTGTTGTTTTAAACCCCACAATTAGATACTTCATTCCTTTCTTCTATGTTCCAACTTATGCTCAAACTCAACTTCGTGCGACGCCGTTGACGGGTTCAATCCTGGTAGCCGTAATGGATTTGGGTGTATGCATGGGTAGGATCCTAGTTGGACGTATAGCAGATTCTTGGATAGGTACAATGAATGCTATTGGAATCTCTATGGCGATTTCTGGATTATGTCAATTATTTCTTTGGCTTCCCGCTTCGGAGTCGTCAGGTTTACTATACGTGTTTTCTTTCGTATACGGATTTTTTGGGGGAAGTATCGGGTAAGCTCCTTTTTTGCAGTCCGGAAACCATCATGCACTGCTAAAAAGTAATAATATGAACTTCAGTTTGTTACCCGCCATACTTTCTCGAATTTATGATGCTGAGAGGTTACCTTCTATCACTGGATTATTTTATTCCAGCGAACTTCCAGGACAGGTATGTATATGATGCGTTCGCGTTTTTTCGATGTTTGATATTAATATTATACAATGATTGTCATCTAGATGGCCGGTGGACCTATTGCAGGTACCATATTCAGTAAAGGAAATGGGAATTGGTCTCCAGTTATTATTTATTCGGCTATGACGATGTTTTTCGGCTCGATATTGATCCTCGGAACGCGTTTTCAAGGTATGAACCCCTTCATTATAAGTCTTCTCCTCCGCGGGTTATTACTCAAATCTCATCCTATTCAGTCGAGCGACGGATTTTTGTCAGTGTTTGATGATCTATTTTGCCTGTCGGGGTGAAGCCAGGTCGGATAAGTGGGGGTTCATAGGAAATCGAGGGTATCTTTTCTTAAGCTCTGGTTCTTTTTTTGAAATTATTGGTCGCTCTCCTGCTTTAGAAGGGTCATGTCGATCGTCGAAGGAGACATAAGAAAGCCTGATTTGATATATTGTATCCTGAGTGTGTCATCTCATCTCATCGCACATCTAAGAGGTTTATCGATCTACCTAATGGAGTTTTTTTGTTCTCAAACACCATGTTTCAAAGATTAGATGGTTTGCACGAGTATTTTTGAAATATATTTCTTGGACGAACGTTTCCCATGTCATGGAATTTGGAAATTTACTTCAAAGTCTTGGCTAATATTCGGACGGTCCGATTCGGCATTACGACATTGACAAGGAAATATTAAATTCTTGTGCGAAGATGCAATTCAAATATTTTATACGAGCTCTGTCGTCTTGAATTTCTGTCTTGTTGACTTGAAGACGGTTTGCTAGAGTCCTGGGACCCTTTTCCAAGTTGGATCACCGTCACAGTCATGTCAGTCCATGCTGAATGGCCGAACACGTTTCAAAGTTGTGAACTTCTAGAACATATTCAATGTTATTGCCTAAAAACATACTTTAAAAGTGCCCAGAGTCTATGTTGTTATATTACGTAAACGTTCAGCGCCGACTATGGTAGAATAGTACTAGTGTAGTTTTCTCTATTAGCATACATTTAGCAACTATACAGCTGCAACTCGGAGTATAAATAATTTAGCTATATTTTCTATAATACAATAACTTTTTATCCACAACTAATATGTCTACTCCGGTATTACAACAACAGTCTATTCCTTCTCAGTGCAACACCTGCCAGACTAACCAGTGATGACATTGACAGTCACGTGAATACGTATTTCGGTTAACTAAGCAAACCGTAAAAACCATATGGAGTCAGAAAAAATGTCGTAAGACGGTTCAATATTTGCAAATCAAACATATCATTGCCTTGAATTAACCGGTACGCCAATAGTATTATTATTAGTTTTAGGCTACAACTTTCAAAATTGCCAACATTCTCGTCTGGTTGAATACCGTTTTCAACGTGCCCGGGTGCAGGGTAATGGAGTAAGGTGACGTGACATATCCGTCTGACAACAGCTGACAACCCTGAAGGCCTAAATTCTCGGCCTTACATAAAATAGGGTTTTTCATGCCATTGTTTCAGCCTTTGGGGGAACCACTTTTTGTCTTTCAAGGATGTCTCAGCAAGCTTTGACAGACTCCGAGTTGATTCATGACAACAAGACTATTGAAGATGAAAGGACATGGAACGATTCGCTTGATGGTACACATGCTAGCGCTGTGATGAAGGAAGAGAGAAGTGGTGTGGTGTCGCCGGTGGTATTACCTTCGGACGAATTGAGGATGGAACCGCCTCCCGATGGTGGTCTAACTGCTTGGCTTGTGGTTTTAGCATGTTTTTTGTTGTATTTCAATATGTTGGGCGTAACGTATAGCTATGGTGAGGTGGCTTCTTTTCTCCGTGACATTTTTTTGGAAAGAAACCCCTTTTTTGACAATTTTTATTTTATTTTTTAAAAAAAAAGGCGTATACCAAGCTCATTACCTTCTTACTGTTTTTCCAACCGAATCTGCAGAGGTAAATAAGTGTTTTTTAAATAGCAAGAGAATTAACAAAAACAAAACAACGAACACAGGTTATATCACTAGTTGGCTCCATTTGTACTGCTTTTACATTAGCCTCGGGTGTATTCGCCGGTCGTTTGGTTGAAATATATGGTGTCAAGACAGTCACGATTGTCGGTAGTGTTATATTCAGCGGTTCATTGGTTGCTGCAGGATTTTGTCGCACCGTTCCGACATTGCTTGTTACGCAAGGTGTGGCAAATGGTATAGGAGCAGGATTATTGTTTATCCCGGGAACCTCAGGTGCCAAAATATCAATATCACATCTCTGGAAATATAAGATTAACTTTTAGTCTATGAATAGCTGTTGTGCCGTGGTTCTTGAAAAAACGATCTCTCGTTTTAGGGATAATCAGTGCTGGTGCCGGAGTTGGCGGTATATGCTGGTCTTTCCTTGCTCGAGCTGTTATCGCAAAATTTTCGTATCATTGGGCATTATGGATTACGGCTTGCATCTCCGCCGTTCTCAATTTAATTGCCATTATTTTTATCAAAGATCGTCCTATTTCTGGCCAGGACCAACGTGTTAAACAACAAGGATCATCATTTCGTGAAGCTTTTGGAATGTTTAGGAATCCAAAATTTGCCACTTTATATTGTGCCAGTGCCTTGAGTGTATTCGGGTGAGATTGTTTTTTTCTTCTTTTTCTTTCTGAGTTTTGATTTTGACCTACCTAAACGAACCAGATACCTCGTTCCATTTTTTTATGTTCCAACTTATGCCGAAACTCAACTAAATGCCACTCCGCTCGTAGGAGCCACATTATCGGCAGTGATTGATCTAGGACTTTCAGCAGGACGAATCCTAATCGGTCGCTTAGCAGATACACGTTTTGGAACGATGAATTCTATTATTTTAAGTATGAGTATAGCAGGATTATGTCAATTAGCGTTCTGGCTTCCCGCTACGAACTCTATCGCCCTGCTTTACGTGTTCTCGTTTATATACGGGTTTTTCGGCGGTGGCTATATTGGGTGTGTCAAAATCAATCAATTATCCTGTTTATTAATGAATAACAATTTAAACCAATTAAATGGTTCAGACTTGTGCCTGCTATTTTAGCCCAAATCTTTGATGAGGACAAGTTACCTTCCATCATGGGATTATTTTATTCCAGTGAACTTCCAGGCGAGGTACCTGATTATAGTTTTTTTCTTTCTTTTTCCCTTTTGATGATTCACATAAAAAAAAAAAAACTGTTTGTTTATAGTTAGCTGGCGGTCCAATAGCTGGTGCAATTTTTAGTGGAACACATGGTCGTTGGCCTCCTGTGATTTTATATTCTGCGATGACAATGTTTGGAGGGTCTCTTCTAGCTATTATTACACGTTTTCAGGGTAAGTCGGGAGATTCACCCCTTCTTGCCCCCTTAATCTTAACTTGTTCTTCTCTTCTCTTCTCTCTAGTCGACCGGCGGCTGTTCGCAACAGTTTGACACCACGAGGGGGAAAGAGAAGGGCTCACCAACCAAAGAAGCTTCTAGAACGGAGGGAATGAATGCCAGTTTGGAAAATCTTTCCATTTTCTAACCAAAACGTCAAGTTCGCACCCACCCACGTTTTTTTTTTCTTTTTCCCTTCGCGATCATCATCGATCGGTTGGCTTTATAAGCTACATGATTTAGACGATATGCGCTGACGACAGCCACATTTCATTCCTGTAGAAGATACTCAAAAAGTGTAAATTTTAAAAATGTAGATGTCAACGAGGATACGGGGGTGTTAGATTAATTAATCTATCTGATATCGGATAAATAGAGTTTACTTTTGGAATGTGAATTAGCTGGCCGCCTGGCATAATGGCAATGCGTCTGACTACGATGCGCTTTCTTCGAAATCAGGAGATTGCAGGTTCGATCCCTGCGGTGGTCAAACCTTTTTTTGTCCTTAAAATACCTTGCCCAGTTTTCAGCCCTCCAAACCAGGTTGATCCCTTTTGATTCCCCCTTATTTTAATTTAAATAAGGTATAAATACTTCCCCACCCCCCCGCTTATAACATCAATGTTGGCTTTATAGCCGATTTTTTGAATTTCGGAGGGGGCGGCTGTGACTCATGGACTCCGTGGTAGTGTGCAACTCTACTGGGACCGGTCCTTTTTTTTTTTTTTCACCTAGAGTGCAGAAAGCCATGGTTTTGGAATGAGAAAATGTTGGGCTTGTTCGCTGTTTGGGATGCGTTTACAGTAAGCCAGATTGCGACCTGGGCGCGCTTCAGCCTTCGATATAACCAGTCTGGTAGTTGTACTAGTAGAAGTCTAGTCATAACACTTGGGTGTGTGAATACATGGGCTGAAAAGATGATTACTCGGGGGGGGTGAAAATGTATTTTATTTTATTTCAATTAAAACCTCCTAATTATGTTTATAAATCCCCTATCCGGGAACTTCGGGCAGTTTATCCGCCAACAAATTAAAAAAAAAAACCAAAGAGATGATAGTTAATAAAAAAAATGAATGCCCATTGTTTTTTTTAATGTTTTATTTTTATTATTGATCTCGGAAAACTTTTGATTCCTAAACAATTTATCAAGGCCCCGAGGATTATGCTTTTTTTTTTAAAAAAAAAAAGACACTTTACACATGTGCCACCCGGCTCTTGTTGTTCTGGTTGTTCAAAAAGTCTTTCACCGTTTTTTTTTTTTCATTTTTAGATGAATAAGTTGTCGTTTTTGGGACAGTGTCTGCCATGGAAAAAAAGGGCATCAATGAAATTTCAATCTTGTGATGATCCTAGTAAGAAAAAGCCTAGGCGTAGATATGTACCTACCCTCAGCTCCTTGGCTGTTTTTGACGAGTAGTAATACACGAGACCATGAACTTGAGGGGGGAAAAGACTTTTTCCGAATCTCGCCCTGTTGGAATTATGTAAAGCGGCCATGATGGGAGGGGAAAGTGGGGCTGCTGAAGACAGCGGGGGTGAACATTTGAAGCATAATTGGCTCGGTCCATTGGCCACGGCATGATCCCTCTATTAACGGAGGATCAAAGCGGGAATCTAGAGAAAGGAAAAACAAAATGTAATTGAATTTTTCTGAGAGGGTCCAGTAAAATGGGTTTTTTTAGGGAAACGGGTGAGCCGAAAGTTGATTCGACCTTAGTGGACTATATCGGTTATAATCAATGTCCTATAACGAGCCGGAGTGGTGCACATACCAAAGGGTAAGATTTCTCTTTTTGTTAGTGACATATCCTTAAATCAAATAGATAAAAAGGAGTTCCGTCTTTAAAAAAAAGCAGAAAAAGGCAAGTGTGAGCAGCCGAAAGGGATAGTTAGAAAAAAAAAGCGCTGGAATAAAGGTTGATTACCACGTGTGGGTGCTTCTCTCCCTTTGTATTATCTATGTATCTTCCTTCGCTCTCGAGATGTCCAATGAAAATGATCTTCTATGTGGTATGATGTCCGAACTATTCCTGGCGAGTAATAATAATTTAGACATAAAATGTCAATTTTTTTATTTTATTTTGACAGGGGAAAGATGAAATTAATTTTTTTTTGACGAAAATGCCGTCTATAGAAAAGACCCTCATGATGTACATTTTCTTGCTTTTGGTCGGGATACCAGTTTTTTTTTTTCGCCTCGTGTCCTGACAAAACGAAAGGGCAAAAATAAAATAAAATAAAAATTATAGTTTGTGAAGATCAGTCACATCACATCACATCACGCACACACGCACACTGCCACGTGAGCCACGTGGTCGCACCCTTTTTCAGCCTTCCCTCCCCTTTCGCCCGATCCAACTTGTTGGGTTTCGGGTGGCGCTAGGCGGTTATTATCAAACCTGTTCAAGGTTTTGAACACACCTTTTTTTTTTCTTTTTTTTTCAAAAGGAAGGGGAGGGTTTTTATACTTTACCCGTTTGTTCAATGGTGTTTTGTGGTTGTTGTTCTCTACATTTCTCTTTTATTTCTTCCACTTTTTGCTGAAACTTTTTTTTTTCTTTATTACTTTTTGTCCCATAACACACCGCTGGCCAAGACTCTTTACCATGAACCACGAACCCATCTCCAACGAAACATCTGAACGACTCGGTTTTATCTTTGAGCAAGTTGGAGACGATTTGAATACGGTTAGATTCGATGCCAGACCAGAAGGCGATCCTGTAGTAGCATTTGCTTTGTGAGTCATTTTCTCTCTCTTTCCATCTATGAGAGTATTGAAAACCATATGATTTTTAGTGATATTGTATGTATTTAGCTAGCCTTCAAACTCTCCTCAAACTCTCTCTCAAAAAACGTCTTCCAGAAACATAAAATCCCTACACTGACAGTCCAACTAACACGCGAGCCAGAATGGCGAAGTCTCTATCCCGAACTTAAAGGTCCTGAAATGTGTGTACTCCATTTTGGACCCAACCATGATATGGGTAGATTTGGCTATGGAATCCTTGGAGAAGAGTATATGAGTAAATATTTGAGGAGATCGAGTCAAACGAGCTCGTGAGTTTTTACCTAAACAAAAATCATCAAAACATCAAACTTCTATAACATATTTATTTTCTAGTTCAATATACTTTACGGCACAAAATGATCGCGAATACAAATGGAAACCAACCGGTCCATTAATCGAAGTATGTTCAGATCAAAAAATCAAATCATTTTTTCCCAACCGCTTACATTTTTCCCCTCTCATAAAAAAAAATAGTGCGTAGATACGCACACTCGTAAATGGGTTGCAAGATATGATGCACGATATGCTCCACCTCAAATGCAGATTAAAGGAGATGGTGTCTTGATATGTACAGAATTAATGGTCACATGGTACTTGTTTATGAATGCAAAAAAGTGGAAATGGAATATCAAGACAGCAAAAGAGATCCGAGCAGCCTAGTTGATTATATCGGTCCGACCCGGGACGTGTTTTTAGTAGCGCGTCCAAAGGGGGGAGACCTCTTTTTTCAAACATCTTTTTTTTTTCCCTCCTCCCCTACTCTCGCTCTGAATCTTCGATTTCTTTCCTTCCACTTTCTCTCTCTCTCTCTCTCTCTCTCTCTTATAGATCCGGTCAAGTTTCCGCACTGGGGCCGGCCTCTTTCCATCCTATCATGTGCATTAACCCATCTCCTTTTCTCACCAAACGTAAACGCATTGCCACCCAATCCACCCACTTGTAATATAGATTTTTAACTCTGCAGAATATATATCCACACAAAAGGAATCAAAACTTATCTTTATCCCCCTTATCTTATCCTTTTTGACCTTATTAATAACAAGCCAGAAACGATTCCAAAATACACACTAAATAAATTCCCCCTATTTTACCAACACTACCATACATATCGTCTTTGAATTCACTATTGGACGACCCTGATTGTCCTCCTCTTCCTCTTCCCCATGATCGACCCTGGTGTTTTCTGGGCTCCGGCGAAAAATGGGATGCGGAGAGTGAGCTTATATTGTAAGTGTAAAGGCTTGAACCTTTTCCCCCTTTAAGATGGTGTGTGTTGATTGATCATCAATATACCTCGGCTGTAGTTCCCTATGATGAAATTTCTCGGACATAAGAACGGGGGGTGCACAGCGTCGTGGTTCATTAGGGATATGATCATTTATGTATGTGTATACGTATGGGATGGGTTATTGAAAGTTGGGAAAAAGAAAACTGATAATATGAGGTAAGAGTATATGAAGCTTATAATATAGGGTAAGTGTATATAAAGTTATATACGTTGGTAAACACCTTTTGGCGATTTGTGTATACAGTAGTATCATACATAAAAAAATTTCAACCCCGGCCTTGATGTCCGAAATGTCCCCAGGTCCGTCGAGAGGAACGAAGCTTTTTTTCAAGATTGGTTGCCGATCTTTTTTCCGGAGATCGGTGCCCTTTGGTGTGAAAAACGGTGAGGAATAAAATGCACTGATCGTCATATTTTTTTGGGCAAAAAAAAAAAAGGTTACGCAAAGCGATGGAAAATAACAATTGTATTGTTCTTTTGTATAACCAAATTATTTTAAACTGGCTTGCTTACAGTTTTCCATCGAAGAATGTTTTTTTTTTTTGTATAAATGGGCAATACGCTATCGGTTTGTACGGTCAACCGACGGCCGTTGTCCATTTTATTATTATTATTATTATAACTCCTCCGAGCATAGCACCTGATGGGCAAGTTTTTAATTCAGATTTATAGCAGTAACTAGAATTTTCTTCAATAATTAATCGGAAAAACCCATTAAAAGCTCGTGCCGAGAATCTCATACTGGTCTGTGCAAACTTTGGAAAATCGTTGTTATAAGATATGATATGTATACCCTTCCATTCTAGCGGAACCTCCCCGCACTTCTTAAGCGAGTCAATAAAATACTTCGCGGTCGGCTTTTCACTACATAGTAACCGCGGTCTCTCTAGAGATTTCTCGTCAATTACCTCCAGAAAACTATAATACATAGCCTCTCCGTATTATCACCTTTGACTTTTTAGAATGAAACTTTGCGCGAGGAGGAGATGAGCTTGCAGCGCCAGCGTAAATGATTGGTGGGTTTGAAGATGCATATCGCGATTGATCTCATATCAAAAGACGCACTGGTAAATGGCAAAGATTTGATCATTTTTTTTTTCCCACTGTGCGATCGGTTGATACAAGTGAATGACGAATGGGCACCGCCTTGTCTTTTTTCCCCCCCCCCAAAGCGTGGAATCGACCTACGTATTTATTTATGATGTAAACCATCCCATCAAACACCAGAACAATGAATATACCCAGGTTGCCTGCGACTAAGCCTAAACCAGGTTACCGTGAGTCATAGATAAAAACAACCGAACCTCTAACCACTTTTGGAGCACTTGGACGTGAGTAAAAAGAATCACCACATTGGTTATTAGGTATATTGCCCTTGTGAAAGTGAGAGCAGAGCAGAAAAAAACGAGTCCGT